TGCCAGCCTCGCCCCACTCCACCCCCAGCCGCTGCTTGCTCGAGTCTGGTGGTGCCAAAAATGCGGCGTGCAATTCCCTGACCAAATAAGGTGAGAACAACCATAAACAGGGACCCCCTCGCACAGCTGGGCACTGGGGTCCCCATCCCGGCCTGGGATGGGCTGGAGAAGAGGAAAAGTGCCGACAGAGAGGGAGGAAGATGAGAGCCCCCTGAGCCCACGCTGGCTCTCCCCACCACTGCTCAAGGTGCCCCATGGGGCAGCCGGGGGGAGACCCCCTTATAAATGGGCTGTCTCACAGCTGCCTGCACTGGCACGGCTTGGAGAGCAGCCTCCTGCCTGCAGCTTCACCCTCCAGCAGTCCCGGCTCATCCCCGAACCATGGCAGTGTTTGCAAATCCAAGGTGCCCTCACGTTCCCCATCACCACCCTCCCTGCAGGAAGACAGCCCAGCCAGTGCATGGTGGGACCTCCACAGCCCCGACACCCACCGAGATGCCCAGGAGGGGATGGCGAGGAGCCCTGGAGTACCTCCACAGCTCTGCAAGGGTCTGGGAGTGCTGTGGCTCTGCCCCAGGAGCCAGAGGGTAACACACGTGCACCGAGGCACTCGGGTCTCTGCAGGCAGGAGGGGGCTACCAGCTGGCCCTGCCAGCTCGGGGCAGGGGCAGAGCCATGGTCTGAGCTTACAGTGGGGACACACATCCCCTCCCCTCCCCTCAGGGATGGACCCACAGCCCCCAGCTCCCCACCACGTAGCTGAGCCCACATGTCACGAGTTGCCTGTTTACTGCCCCGTGCAAGGCAGGTGCTCGTGCCAGCTTCACACAGCCACCCCATGTCCGGCCCCATGTCCCCACCGTGGGCAGGGACACCCTCACCCACCTGGGGCACCCAGAGCCCCCACTCTCCCCAGCAAGCCTGGCCACCCACAGCTCCCGCTCAGAGCAGCCGGTGACCTTCAGGGACGTCAGGGACCGCAGCTGTCCCCGCTCCAGGGACGCCTGTCCGGACCAGGCCAGGAAAGCTCAGGCATCTGCTCGGCCACAGGTGGCTTCGCCGCCGGGACAGGGGCCCACCACCCTTCGACATACAAGTCCTGCCTGCTCCTGCCAAGCAGGCGAAGGCGGCCGACTCACTGCATCCAAACGGGTGCTCAAGGGGCTTTTCCCAGCTCTGAGCAATGGTGTGTACCTTCCAGTGCAAGTGGGGCATCTGCCTCTCCCATGGGAAATTGAGGCACAGCCACATCCTGCCACGCTTGTGCCACAAGAAAGGAGCTGGGAGACCTAATGGTCCCCCCATTAGGTCCCGCTCCCAACAGACTTGGGGTTTGGGTTTCCCAAAGTTCTGGGGCATGAACCAGGGCTGGACCCTGCTCCATGCAAGCAGGGCTTTGAGAGCAAAAGCACCAAAACCAGAGCCTGAGCACCCTGGCATTGCAGCAGGAAGGAAAGTCCGCAAGATCTTCCTCTCTTATCCCATGGCCATGCTCCTCCCAGCAGTGGCTGCCTGCCCCCAGCTCTGCTGCCCGCCAGCATCCTTCCCTGGGGTGGGGACAATTCCCATGGAGACACTCAGGCCACCGACCACCCCGTGAGCCCTAACCTTTCTCCAGGTGCTTGCTGGGCAGGGGTGGCTCAGCCCAGGCGCCCTCTGTGCTGTCCTCACGCTGGATGTTGAAGTTCTCGTAGGAGTCCCACCGGATGAGCGGGTCGGACGTGTTGTAGTCCACGGAAACGCTGGGCCCATTCTCAAGGTGCTCCATGCCTGGGAAGAGGCGGAACAGTCAGTCAGGGTGATGCTGGAGCCAGGGCGGGTGGGATGCAGGGAAGAGATGGAGAGAAGGTGCAGGCAAGGGAAAGCAGGCAGGAGCCATAGGGGCAGGAGAGTCAGGTAGAAATGGGGGCACCGAGGGTGATGGATGGGCATGGGAGGTACATCAGAACCCCCAAACAAGGTGTACAGGGCTGGCCAGGGCTTTTGGGATCGCCAAGGGAAAGGCAGATTGACTGACAGCGAGTGTGCCTAGGGCAGGGCTTTTTAGGGGGGGGGGTCCCCCATTCCCAAGCACCCCCTCCCTCTCACAGGCCAGCAAGTGCTGCAGAGAGCAGCCTCCTAGGGAAGAGAGCGAGCGCTATAGGGCACCCATGGGTGCTCCTAGATCAGCCTCACAGCCTGGAGCCCTCATCGCGCCCTGATGACAAAGGGACAGCAACCCAGGCAGGGGGAGGTTGCAAGGGAGGCAGCAGGGGATGGAGCTGGGGAGCGGGAAAGGCGCTAGCTTCCAGCTCCGAACCCCGACGGTGGTGAACCAGACGTACCTTGGATCTTCTCAGGGCCGTAGGAGAACACAAACTCCACCTTCCCGTACTCAGGGAAGCGGTCATCTGAAAGGCAGAGAGCAGAGCAAAGGGATCATTTCCATCCATCCCTCCAACAGCAACTAGGCAGCCACCCAAAACGTGCCCGGAGCATGGGCCACCCACCCTGGCCAGAGCAAGACCAGGAGCTGGTAGGGGGTATCCCAGCATGGGGCAGCACATCTCAGCCCCCAAACAACCCCAAGGCAGCCCCTCCGCTTTGGTAGCAGATTTGGGCAACAAAGGGGATGACACTGCCACCGGTCCCTGAGTGGCACCGTACCCTGTGGATGGAGCAGGATCACCCCTCTTCATCAGGGGTGGATTTGGGGTGGTTGCCCAGACATCCCAGCGATGGGAGCAGCATCAGAGGCACAGGAGGAGGAGGGAGTTTGGAGTGGGGTGGTGCCAGGGCGGTTACCTCGGAAGGCTTCATCCAGGTCCTCCTTGCCAAAGACGACATCAAGGTCGTGCACAGCGCACGTATGGAACTGTACGCGGAAAATCACATCACGGGTCGGGCTGCGAAACTTCTTGTGGTAACACTTCAGCTGCAGAGGGGAGCGGGGTTGAATCATGAGGATGAGCCCCCAGGGCTGGGCAAGAGGGAACCGGAGGGTCGCGAGGCACAAGGACCATCCGTCCCCCAGCTGCTCCCTGTGAGCTGAGGCTCCTTACCAAGATATCACCCTTGAGGAGTAAGCCGGGCTCGATGGTGATGCAGATGCCTGTCTGGCTGTCTCCTTGCACGTTGCTGCAGGGAGGGACAGTAGGAGGATGTGAGCTGCGGTGCAAAGCTCCCCCAAGAGCTCCCATCACCACCTCCACCAGCCCTTTCCACCCAAGCCCAGCCAGGAAAGGTGCAAAGCAGAGAGCTGGCCCTCTTGGTGGCAGAGGAGGGTCCTGTCCCCCACCCCGAGAGGCACCCATTCCCAGGGGGAGGTGGACAGGAGGGCGAAACTGAGGCCCTCATGGCGTCAGCAGCAGGGGAAGAGGGAAGAAGGGAGTTGGATTTCACAGGCAAGATAAACCTGGAGTTTATTACTGGCATCCCATAAATAGTCTGTCAAAAGCTGAAAGGCGCAGCCGGGATGGCAGTAAATCTTGGCTAACGAGGAGGATGCCGGGCTGCAGGGAAGGGAGATCCCAGTTCAGGAGGGTGAGATGGGAATACCCCCAAGGCAAAGGGCTCTGCTCCCTCCAGGGTGGGCAGGAGTCAGGGGTCCCAGGCTGGGATGCAGCCCTGCAGGGCACTCCAGCGGCTGGAGAAATCAGCTCCTGCTTTGCCTTCACCAGTGCCTGCTCCTGAGAGCAGCATTGGAAAATGGTGTTGGGGTAAATCCTGGGGAGGTTAAAATGGGGGAAAGCGCTTTTGCAGGGGAGAAAGAGGGCTTTTAGGACAATTCTGGGCAGGAGGAGCAGGTCTTTGGGCAGGGGAAGGAGAAACACCTCCATCCCCCAGCGAGGTGTCCCCATCCCTGTCCCCGCTCCCTCTGGGGACACCCAGCCCCAGGCTCTGTGCAGCCCCGGGCTCCCTCTGCTGATACACGGAGTCACTACAGCCCTCCCAGCAGAAGGGCCCAGTATGGCCCAGTATAGCCAGTTACCACCACTAAGGAAAGGGAAGCCCCTTTTTTTGCTTCCCTGGACCATAAAAAGACTAAGCACAGGGCATGGGGACCACTGGGGACTTGGCCTTGACCCTCTCCATCTCCCCCCACCTGCCAAGCCCCCTATGCTGGGGAGGGAAGCCCCACGGTAAGGAGATAGTTACTAGATCCCAGAGGTGTAGACGGGCTGCATGGCCTGGTAGATTTTCAGGAAGGGCCGACAACCTGGAAGACATCAAGGCAGGGAGAGAAGGCATGCTGCTGTTAGCCGGCAGGGCGGAGGGGCCGGGTCAGGGATTAGTCACGGGGGAGAAATCCAAACAGGGAGGGAGCCAAGGCAAACAGCCGCTCCCCACCCTGGCTGGCCCACACCGGCCACGGGCAACATCTCGGATGGGCAGAAAGAGATGCTCCAGATGGGGTGGGAAAGGGGGAAAGCCCTTGTAGCACAGTTTGGGTCCTGCAGGACCTGGGGAAAGCATTGGGTCTACATTGGATGGAGGTGGGATGATGGGGATGATGGTCTCTGAGAGAGGGACTGCTTCTGGGTACCGGCACTGGGCTTGGTGCTACATCCCAAACCCCAACCCCAATCTGGTGCCATCCTTCCAAAAGCCATCAGAAAAGCCTTGTCACCCCACAGCTTGGGTTAGAGCCCAGCCCCAGGACCCTGCCCAGGGGGGACACCCCCTGAGGCCATCTCTGTGGGAAAAGGGTAGCACCCTGCTACAGTGAACAGTCATGGAGAGGGAACAGTCCCTGAAGAGGGAAAGGGAAAATCAAATTGCCAAGGAAATCGTGGAAAATATCCCCCATGGACAGCAAGCCTGAGCAGGCAGTGTGGGGTGGTGGTGTGTGCATGGGTCTGGGGTGGGGAGCACTTACCGCCTTTTGACTCAAAGTTGGGGATGCCGTGCATGATGACATGGTGGAGGAAGAGGGGCTTGTTGTTCATCTTGATGCTGCCAGACAGGAGCCCACTGAAGTAATGGATGTACCTAGAGGGGGGATAGGCAGCTCAGGGGCAGGACCCACAGCGGAGCACCTGCCTTGGCCCCCCTACACCCAACCACCCTGGCCACGGGGACAAAACGTACGCCGGGACCCACCTCTTCTGGGATGGCTGTCCCACTGGCACTATCTTGTCCTCATAGAAGCGCTTCATGGCAAACCTGTCCAGAGCCTGGTCAGCGCTGCGGGGACAAAAGGGTAGATGAGATTGAAGGAAAGCATCAGCACCGGCACCCAAGCACTGCTGGGACGGAGGTCAGCAGTGGGCCCCAGGGCCACCCCGGGACCGTGTGTCCCTCTCACCTGGCCGAGATGTTGCTGTAGTGCATGTAGGCAGCCACCACCACCCCCAGCCGGCCGCGGTTCCCCTGCGGGCACACAGCAGAAGGGGTGTCACGGGGATGGTGCTGCCTGCGAGCACCCAGGCACGGCCATCCTGCACATGGGCACGCACACCCCGGTCCCTACACACATGCATCGACCCATGGACACACCCCAACCCTTACACACACCAGCACACACGTACGCCAATGCCTACATGCACCCCAAACCACAAACCACCATGTTCCCTGCACCCCTCACTCTGAGGCCGCTTAGCCCTGCCCCTGCAGCCCCCCAGGCCCCCCGGACTGTGCTCCCCTGCACCGTGCGCCCCAGGGACAGGGTCCAGCCCACCTTGTTGTGCAGCACCACCACGTTGTGCGCCGCCGCGTTGAGCCACGTGTCCATGGCTTTGCAAATGCTGCAGATCTTCTCCAGCGCTGGGGTGTGCAGGTCGGGCCACCCGAAATCCAGCAACTGGGTGGTGATGGGGGACAAGCAGGGGTCACATCCATGCTGGGCTCTGCCCCCTCTGCAGTCCCCAGCATGCAAAGCCTGAGGCACGTGCCCAGGGGCAGCACCACCATGTTACCCTGATGTGCCCCTCCCAGCCTTTCCCTCAACCCTACACCCCACTGCCCAGACCCCTGCCCTGGGGGGGGCCATTGGAGTCCCAGATCTCAGCCTCCTTCTGGGTCTCTTGGCTGAGCTGCCCAGGGCTCCCAGGTTCACAGGGATGGGGACAATGCCTTAGGGAGGTCTCCAAGAGGCCCCAATATCCAGGTTTGAGCTGGGGACAGGATGGCGGTTAAGCTGAGACCCTACAAACTCATTGGAAAGTCCTAGTGCTTTCCTTCCCCTGCTCCTCCACCAACTGGGTGGGATAGAAAGGGTGGCTGTTCCTCCCCCAAACAGCTTGCAGGGGGAAGCTGGTCCCACAGACAGCCCTGCCCTGAGCCCCTCTGCAACCCCCAGCTGCGACCCACCTTGGGATGAAGTTTGCTGATGTCGTGTCTCCGCTCAGAGAGGTTGAAAAGCTTCAGGGAAGAGGAAACAGGGTGAGGGGACACCGTCCTCTCTGTCACTGCCACCCCCCACCTCTTTCTCACTTCAAAGCCTCCCCAAATCCCCCCCCATGAGAGGTTTCCCCAAACACGTTAACCTGAGTAAGGCCTTGCCACAGGGCAATGCAAAGGCCAAAAACTCCCAGGGGAACCCAAAGGGACTGGAAAGCTTCAAGGAAGGAAAAAATCCATCCGTCTTGGTGCAAAGACCCCCCTCACCAGAGCCAAGCCCAGCCGGAGGCAGGGATGCAGCACCCATCCCCTGCAGCACCATCCCCAGGACTTGAGCACCCCAGCCCTTTCCCCAGCCTGGAAGGGACCCAGCCGTGTCCCTCACCATGTAGTTGTCCCCATGCTTGGACTTCAGCATGTGGGCCACCTCGCGGAGGTTGCTGCAGAAGCTCTGCTCCTCGGCCGTGCTGGGGTAGGAGACGGCGATGATCCGCTCCGTGATGTACACCAGGTCCAGCTCGCAGCTGCTCTCCATGGCCGCAGTCAGACTCATGCTCCTGGGTGAGGGAGGGGACCGCCATCAGGACACAGTGTGGGGATGGGACACTGTGACCCTTCCCCACCCTGCACAGCCCCCGGGGTTAAGCGAGACAGGCTGGGACATGTGGGGACACAGCAGCAGGGCTGCCCACAGCCTTTCCCCTGCTCCCAGCCCTGTTGGGGTGACTTGGGGACCCCAAATTGGGAATGGTGAGTTGTAACACCCATGTCTTCTCCATGGGGAGCATCTCCCAGCTGTAGCACATCTGGAGAAGCAATGTGTTGGTGGGGGGGGATGTTGAGGCAGGGCAGAGATGGTCACCAGAAAGGGAAACTGAGGCACCTACCTGGATGTTTTGCGGCGTGACTGCCCGCTCCTGGGGGATTTTGTGGCATCCTAAACCAGAGAGGAAATGCAAGTTATTGCCCTGACCCAGCCAGCAGCCAGCACAGGGCTCCTGCTCGAGCCGGGTGCGGTGGTGCTGCCGGAGCATCCCACCCCCACCACATCGCACTGCGCACCATAACACCCCCAAAATATTGCTGTCTCCAAATCCCACCCGCCGAGCAGCCTGGTGGCACCAAACACCCCAACGGCACCATCGCCCCCCCACCATGGCCACGAGCAAAACCCAGCTCTCAGAACCCCAGGACGGCTGGGACCAGCCACCATGGGCACTGCAGGACCGGTGCCTTGGCACAGGGTCCCAGAGGAGCTTTGAGGAGGATGCTCCGGGGAGGGGAACAGTCTCAGGCATGTCACAAGTCCCTCCAGTCTCAGCTGGCTCCAGGCACACACCTGGCAGGACAGAATGGCTTTGGCCCTGCCTGGGGCAGGGGCAGGGGCAGGTTTGCTGCCCGAGCAGCAGCAAGGAGCCAGCCAGGCACGATGGTTTGCTTTGGCCCCGGCTCTGCAGAGCCGAACGCCGGGAGGAAATGTTTGAGCTCTCGGAGCAGGAAACTTCTATTTATGCATGTTCTCCGGCCTCAAGAATTTCATCTGCAGCCGGTTTGCTCGGTAACTTTGTGACCTCAGCCGAAAAACAAAGCAGGGTTTCCAAAAAAAACCGCTAAGGAAAAACACACTCACACCTCATTAGTTTTAGTATCTTCAGCTAACAAGCAGGAGTCATTTAAAGACTCATCTCACACAAGCAGCACATCCCGAGCCCCCGGAAGGATCCAGAAACAAGAGATGCGCCCCACAGCTGGCTCCCAGGATGTCCCTTTCATCCTCACAGCTGCAGGACCTGCTGCCACCCTCCTCAGGGTTGTGACATCCCGCAGCCAGCACCCCAGAGGCGACAGGACGAGGTGGGAGAGGTTTACCCGGTGCCCTTCACCCACCATCTCCCACCTGGCATGGTCCCGGGGCTGCTCCCACAGGCAGTCAGCATCACCCTCCATCAGCCTCACATCCCCCTTTCAAGGTCAGGCTGCCCAGCGGAGCAGAGCCAGGCTCGGCAGCCTGCAGGGCCCGGGGACAACATCTCCCCTCCCAGCCAAAGCCACTCCAGGAGGCAGCAGCCCCATCCGAGCACCCAGGAGTGTGCGGGCAGCAGTGACAGTCTACACCCAGGTTGTCCCCAGGGTGCCCTAAATCTCCTGCTCACCCCAGAAACCCCCCAACATCACTGGGGGCAAAGGCACCAAGAAGAGTGGTAAAACCTTTCCTGGGCAGAACCAGGGTACGTGGAGCAAGCTTGAACCTGAGCATGGGCCTGTCCCTGCGTTACCCACCGGTGACTGGGATGGGATCCCCACTGCGGGCTCTGCTCTGCCCCAAACCTTTGTTTCAAGTCCTCCCGAGACCCGGCCCCCTCATTGCATGAGTGATGTGACAGCTCCTGCCCCCCCCCCCAGCCGCAGCAGCCTCCCAAACCGCAGCCTTGCCCAATGGATGAGCTGACATGGAGCAACCGGGACTCACCCCCCTTTCCCGCATGGGGAAACTGAGGCACTGGAGGGCAAGCAAGGCAGGGACACCAGAGCTCCTCTTCCTCTCCATACCTTGACAGCAGTGAGGCCCTTGCTAATCCATTTCCATGGCATGGCGGCTCTGCTCCTGGCACCCCCACAGCCCCAGGGAGCGGGTGCCCGCAGCCAGGGCCCTCCAGCGTCCCCCGCCCTGGCAGGAGTCCCCCGGCTCTGCCCCGCTCCCCCCAATCTAACCGCAGCCGTGCTGCCGACTCCCCCACCAGCCCCTGCACAGGACGCG